TTCTGGTGAAGGCTAGTATTCAGTTTGATACATCTGGGTGTGGATGAATGCATGCTTTGTATGACATAATTTTTGATTGCTTGTCACAGAAGTTGTCAACTTCACATCCCCGAAATTTCCGTGACATCCATGTATCTCTTCTGGATTTCTTTGAGAATAACGAATCATGTAAACATTTCAGTCCTCAACCTATCTCTGAAACATTAATATGGAAACCAAAGTTGAGAGAAGAATTGCAAAATTGAGTCATCTAATGTCAATCAATATTTACTCCCAATCCATGAATCAACCACCGAATAGCAAACTAATTGATTTCTCATATTCAATCTAAATTTAAGTAACATACAAAATGTAAAAGAAGCATAGTTCTGTAACTGTGAATATTGGTCTTATTGTTTCGATTGAAAACACATCATGATATACATGCACACATAATTTTCCAACCGTCAGGATTTATCTCTCTTTCAGGGAGATTTTAGTAGGAGTGGTGGTACGAGAGTATCACATTTCCAACATCTGGAGAAAATGAACAAGATTTTGTACACTTCGTAGCGTCATGAGAAATTAAGACATTTCATGTGCCTCTTAATTTCGAAATATATGTTTCAAATTCAAGTACTAAACACAGTGGTACCAGCCAAGTAGATGATGTTCCACTCAGCTCTCTCAAGAGACTTCAGTAAGTTGAAGTTTGTCGTTTATCCACATCTTAGATTTTGGTGTTTGCTTTGCCTTATAAGTGTCTCAAATCCATCATTATACTATAATGAATATTTGCAATAATACAGGATTTTGAATACTTCATGTCCAGTCGATACATTTAAACTGTAGGTGATTGATATTAATCAAATAGCATAACTTTTACCTCCATATTATACCCAAATATACCATTCAACTTTCTAGATTGTTTTAATGCAAATTGAAGGAAAATAGTGGAATGAATTTCTCACATCGATCTTCGGTGATTTATATATATAACATATTGTAGGTGATGATTAATTGTTCAAAGTAGCTTTTGTTTAGGCACCTAAAGATGACCGATCATCAGACGTAATCAAAATCGTTTAACAACAACGAATAAAAGGACATTTAATGCAGCTTAACTGCGTATAACCTTCATTAGTAGGAACTTATTTTCTATATCAATTAAAGATAATCTTCCGCATCTGTTCGCCTCTATGTGCATCTAACAGTTCATCCGCTCTTGTTTTTTCACTATAAATTAACGAACAGTCTGAAATCGATTGTAGGTCAGTTAACAAGGGTCACACGTTACATCTTCTTCCATGCTATTCAAATAAATTTACTCAGATACTCTTTGCATACACAATAGTGACAATAATAATTATTTTAAAAGACACATTCCTCACTCGTACGCAAACAAGGAGAGTTCAAAATGTCTCAATAATTTGGCTATAAAAACTATATCCGATTTTAAAAACCGGATCGATTTATACACAACGATTGAATACTATTAAGGTGGCTAAACAAAAAACTATCACTGGAGATCTATGTGAGAAATTCATTCCACTATTTTCCTTCAATTTGCATTAAAACAATCTAGAAAGTTGAATGGTATATTTGGGTATAATATGGAGGTAAAAGTTATGCTATTTGATTAATATCAATCACCTACAGTTTAAATGTATCGACTGGACATGAAGTATTCAAAATCCTGTATTATTGCAAATATTCATTATAGTATAATGATGGATTTGAGACACTTATAAGGCAAAGCAAACACCAAAATCTAAGATGTGGATAAACGACAAACTTCAACTTACTGAAGTCTCTTGAGAGAGCTGAGTGGAACATCATCTACTTGGCTGGTACCACTGTGTTTAGTACTTGAATTTGAAACATATATTTCGAAATTAAGAGGCACATGAAATGTCTTAATTTCTCATGACGCTACGAAGTGTACAAAATCTTGTTCATTTTCTCCAGATGTTGGAAATGTGATACTCTCGTACCACCACTCCTACTAAAATCTCCCTGAAAGAGAGATAAATCCTGACGGTTGGAAAATTATGTGTGCATGTATATCATGATGTGTTTTCAATCGAAACAATAAGACCAATATTCACAGTTACAGAACTATGCTTCTTTTACATTTTGTATGTTACTTAAATTTAGATTGAATATGAGAAATCAATTAGTTTGCTATTCGGTGGTTGATTCATGGATTGGGAGTAAATATTGATTGACATTAGATGACTCAATTTTGCAATTCTTCTCTCAACTTTGGTTTCCATATTAATGTTTCAGAGATAGGTTGAGGACTGAAATGTTTACATGATTCGTTATTCTCAAAGAAATCCAGAAGAGATACATGGATGTCACGGAAATTTCGGGGATGTGAAGTTGACAACTTCTGTGACAAGCAATCAAAAATTATGTCATACAAAGCATGCATTCATCCACACCCAGATGTATCAAACTGAATACTAGCCTTCACCAGAACGAACAACATAAATAAAATCTTGTGTTCCTGAGGATGTCATGTAAAAGTGACTAACACATTCCGTAAAAGACACACAATATGGAGAAAGATTTTGGGGAGTATGGAAACTACATATATGAAGTTCACACCTTGTGTACAGTGTCTTATCGTAATTTGAAATTGTATATTTGAGAAAAATACGTTAGCATTCTACTGACGACTTGCTAATTACTTCCTTCAACCTGAAATTACTCTGAAGGAGCTTATTCTGATAAACACGAAACGTCTAGCAGCAAAATGACCAGTACGTTGAGTGGTTAGACACCAATTATTGTCGTAGGAGACAGGAAGATATATCGAAGATGCAGATACATTAGTCTCCAGATGGGTAATTGATGGATGAGGTCAAGTTCCGTTTCCTCATAAATACACGTAGGTTTCCCCAAACACCAACTATCTGAGCCACTATTGTATCTTGATTCATAGGTTTGTGTGCATTTTGTGAAGAGGAGTTTGAAGTTGGTCTCCATCAATGGTTGATCAGAGCATATTCTATTGAAATGATGTTCTCCTAACTGGATGATCTACCAGTGTAGCTCTCAATATCTTTTTAGACGATATCTTCAGCACAGACTCTGAAAATAAAAAGCTGACGATACTACTTAGAGAAACGATGAAAGCCTCACTATGAAACCACACAGGTCAGTGTGAATGCCTTTCATCAAAATTATGAAGAAAAGGGTTTTACGAAAGTCAAGTCGCTCCTTTGATAAAAAAAAATGCTGGAAATCTAGAAAACCACTACTCAAAACATCCCAACCAGAAATATGTCACTCTTCAATAGGTGGATAGATAGAACATAAACATTTGAGGAACTATAGAACGGAGTCATTTTCAAATATTAAACAAAATAGACTGATATTTCTCTCGGACGGTGTCGCTATTCAAAGTTACATTCTCGGGACAAAATGAGACTATGTAATTCAGTCATCTGTGTCTAATGATTGTGTTTACTGGATACTGGAAACGTCAGTAGAAGAAGCTACATCACAGCCAATTACACAAAAAGCAACTGTCTAATCAGTTCACAGAAGTCATAAATTGAGGAAGAACAAAGATTCTGTCAAGTTCTGAGATTTCCAAACACAAACAAGTAGAAAGTCTGTGTTCATGTAATTCTGTGAGCTTTCTCAAACCACCCAACGTTGAACATATCTTCTGTGAGCTAAGTGACATTTGAACACTCACCATTCCCAAAAATGTTCACTATTCTGCATAAGGTGTGTAGTCTGATTTAAACAATATAATCGATTCAGGGATATTTTGAGTGGACTACATTGAAGTTCTTATGTATGAGTTTGTTTTGCAACGAGCTTATCAGAAATGGATACAGACATACATCTATGGCTGATCAATAATGCACATGTGTGAAAATGTAATCAGCATGTATCTAGAATTCTTAAGATTTTTAACAGCATCGTAGCAATTTCTTTGAAGTTTGTAAACGATACGATGATATTTCAAGAGAACATTTTCGAGTGGTTGAGTTTACACTTAATTTTCTACACCGAACACATCTTAACAGAACTGGGATGACTTCATAACACTCGATACAACATGCTTGTGCATAATTGCTAGTGGTACTTGTGGTAATCGTTGAAGCAGCCTCTAGTTACATGCTGTGTACTTGACGCTAAAATATTTATTGGTTTTAACTATCTTCACGTGTTCCATGGTCCTCTGTTTTGGTATATACTGCTTGTCTTCTACTACTAATTTGAACATTGACTCATCATTTGGATTAGTTTCCCAATCACTCAGGACTGTTCATTCACTCGGTTGCACCGTGATAATTTCCTCTCGTATCAAATAGATGTTGTTTGGAATCGCTTTACTTCACCACCTATGAGTAAGTGTCACGATGTACAGAAATTTATTTTGGAAACCTGAATTGACGGAACTGTCACACAACTGCATATTTCATCGAGTCAGCTACCCAATCAATGTTTGACTTGAATTTCTTACATGCACTTCAATGCATGAAGTTTGTCATCGAAAATAATCCAGTCTGTTTGCAAAGAAAAATAGTGTTTCCCAACTGATTAGATCACACTTGTGGGAAGTCGACTCGGTTTAACATTTTAACGAGTGGTGTACACTAGAAATTAACCTGAATTTTATTTACCTCACTCTCTCCTTCATTCGGTCACGTAATGCACAATAAATCAGTCGACACTTTTAGTGTTGTGTTGAAGTCTGTGACCGTTTAGTAAAGCCAACCAAATTGCAGATCGAATAGCACAACACCATACTTCTTTACCACCAAATTAAGTTGTTCTTACCTAGTTAATTATGGAGAAGATGAGTATAATCATGAGTAGTTAAATACTAATCATTACCAAGCGTTTCGCCATTCTGATACCTAAACGCCACACCACCCAATACCCTTCGTCTGAAACGAACAAATCTATGTGATTAAGTGACTGGAATTTCATTCGTTCATCAATTTATTCAAATACTTCTGTAGTCATAACACCACAATCTACCTGAACACTTTGTCCATACTAAAGCTTCTTGCATCGTCAACACAAGAGAATAATCATTCATAGTATTATCATTTATTGATTATGTAGAAGGAATTTATTACTAACAACCCATATAAGACATAATCAACAAACACAAGTAATTCTGATGAAAGCACTACACAATTCCCACTGAAAAAAGAACAGATGTTAACAATATGAGGACAATAGTGAGTGGTGATTAATTTACAATGTGCACAAATGACGGAAGAATTATGTAAATATAATGAACAATGTTTGTTCTCAAATAAACGAGTGAAGTTGCAGTGTTCAGTACAAATCCACAACACTGTTCACCGATTTCGTCAGATTGGATATCACTTGGTTGAGACATGTTGGAAGGCGTTTCAGTAGATGGGATATTCTGTAGGAAGTCTGTAATGAATAAGTAAGAGAAGATTTATTATGATGATATCGATGGAAAACCATGTAATGCATATAATATCTGAGCTAGCATAAATTAGAGGATTGATGCGGAAAATGTGGACTGATGCGAACTGTTCAAGTGTTCGTGGATTTCATTCATTTCTCAGTGTAAAGGCAAAAAATGACTGGTAATTTGTACAAGTTTGGTCTGAATTGCATCTACAATTGTCAGCTGTATGCAGGTGATCTCACTACACCTCGACACTTCGTTCACTGCACATTCCCCACCTGTCAATGGGCGAACAAAGTACACATAATGAGGAAGAGAAAGTGGGTGGACGCTGAAGCCAAATCACTCTCTCCAGTCTTGTCACGACTTTCATCTGAATCACACAGGTATGGTGATTTGACACCGAAACAGTTACATGACCATCACTCACAAACAATCGAATCGTCACATTTGATCAGAAATAAAACAATGCACAGTAATTCACTCATCAATCTGAACTCACAGCAAATGGTGTGGCTGCTTCACTACGGTGACAGGAATAAACATTCGTTTGGGTTACTTGGTTGTTGGCAACTGGAAAGAAGAACAGAATTATTCATCGTTGGTACAATAATTTCTACCGATACTCACTTGCATCTCCGGGCCAGTACATTCTCTGAAAGTATCAAGTTACAATGCTATGTTAGTGATGATGATGTGTGGTGCTTATATAGATTTTTCGTCCAAAATACCCATTTTCATTGGTTGTTCTACGCATCAATCAACAGCCGATTGTAATCATGTAGTTGTCCAATCGTAATTGTCGAAGTGTGTCGCATTTCGACTAAAATGTTTTATTACTAGTGAGTATGATTTTGTGACTAAGTGATTCCGTTTAGATTCAAGTGGGATGGGATGATTGTGCACTAATTCCCGGTTTGTAATGGTTTGCCACATGATGTCGATCCGTCAGTCATGATGAGCATTGTCGTCTGAGTCCTTAGAGGCTCTCGATGGTTGTTTCGTGGTTGTGCTCACATGAATTTGAAAAGGTGGAAGTTAACAAAATGTGCAAACATGATTTGAACTCTGTATACTGGATTGGTTGACCTTTGATATGACTGGAAAAGCGATATTTCCAAATGAATATTTAATCGAGTATCATAAACCCTGTAATTTACAATAGTTGACTGTGTTAAATGATTGTAGAAAGTACTAAGCTACAAGCTTGTTATTCACTATTACCTCACTGTGTTCGACAAATATTTTAAACCATTGTTAAGTTCGAAGAGAGATTAGATTTTGACTGCAAGCGAGTGAGATCGATGTGAGATTATTGATTTGCTTACTGTAGTTTGAAATGATTGTCGTGTCGAGGAGATCGAGTACCAACACAATTCGAACAGATTGAAAACTGAACTGGAATTTTCGTCGGTGGTGATGTGAGGGGGGATCTTGGCGCATTTCGTTTCAGTAACTGCGTGAAACGTGCAGTTGACGAGAACACCTAAGACAGTACACTAGCGAACAGTAAGTTTGTGGCAAACGAGTACTCTCAACTAAGAACAGATGAACTTGTCACTGATGTAATTGACGATAAAACCATTCAGAGAGTATCCAATCAACATACTCAAGTCACCTATCATCATTTACTGATAATCGGTTCTCGAGACCCTTTCCAGTTAATTGAAGCGAACGATATGACAACATTTCAACCAACCACTGAGATACACCTCTCAATCAACTAGACCCAATTGTGATATCCGGGTTATAAGAATGTAGAATTTGTTTTTACTTGCTTATGGTACTCGAGAGTCGTAACACTGAATAATGAACAGAAGGAAGTTGTTTCCCAGTGTTGATGTTTTCGATGAAAATACTGGACTGTGAAGACCGTCGATTACACTCGTCACTTCACCGCCTAATTGACACTGAAATAGTTGAGCTGAAATATGTTGAGTGAAACATGTGCGTGAAGAAACCAACATTCAAGTGACTGAGTAGTAGTTGTCATATTGATTTTGTTCCATTCCGAACTGATTTTCAATTGACACTCATCAACTACAATTCACGAACAATTCATTTCAATCGACACCAAACATCAGATAATCTGGATATTCTGAAAAACGTTCCCACAACAATAAGCATATCAGTATGAAGGATACAGTGTCACTTCACAGCATCATTTTATTCAATTTCACCATTGTCACATTCGACTGTCGTTTCCAAACAATCTATGATCTCGGATCGGAAATAAAGTTCAGAGAATACTGTGCAACTGAATTTTGACTCAGTGACGTGTTGAAGAAAACCGACAGGCGAACAAATAACATAGTGTGAAAATACCAATGAGAAACTGACGAATAATTCAGTGATTCTACTGACTAGCATTTCAAAACATGCTGACCTATTCACCAGTTCATCACACATGTAGTAGGGAGGCATAACACATTCTCAACAATCTCCTCCTATTTACAACATATTCGGTCCACACATCTCCCAGACAAATAAGGGAATACTGATCAATCCGAACATTTCTTGAGCAACCCAATAATCATATTGGAAATGATTCCAGTGAAGGTTGAATAGTTATGGTGAGACGGATACCATTTTCAGTGTTCCGATTCTAACACCTCAGACAAGAAACCCCGGATAACTTCAACGGAAAACAAATTATTCTTTGTCTATTAAACTAAATAATTAGAAAATCTCACATGGTCACGTAGGTGTATGATCATGATTTAGAAAATCTATTATTTACGTAAATTGTAATCAGCAAGGTTGAAGAACAAATGAAACGGATGAAAAAAGAGTTAATGATGTTGTTGAATAGATGACCCAATTTCACTTGTCACTTTGGTCTAATTAGTATTGCCATAATTTGGATGTAGGTCGCGAAACAAAATATTCACTTAGAAACAAACTCAATATTAAATGAACATAGATTGGGATTAATGACAGTCTACCTGATAAGCACTGCTAATACAGTTAGTGACCAGTTTATAAAGATTATCGAGAGATGCATGAAACATATTAGAGAATGATGTGAGTAGTGTAAGTGTTTATATTCTAAATGTTTATGTTCTATCTATCCACTTATTGAAGAGTGACATATTTCTGGTTGGGATGTTTTGAGTAGTGGTTTTCGAGATTTCCAGCATTTTTTTTTATCAAAGGAGCGACTTGACTTTCGTAAAACCCTTTTCTTCATAATTTTGATGAAAGGCATTCACACTGACCTGTGTGGTTTCATAGTGAGGCTTTCATCGTTTCTCTAAGTAGTATCGTCAGCTTTTTATTTTCAGAGTCTGTGCTGAAGATATCGTCTAAAAAGATATTGAGAGCTACACTGGTAGATCATCCAGTTAGGAGAACATCATTTCAATAGAATATGCTCTGATCAACCATTGATGGAGACCAACTTCAAACTCCTCTTCACAAAATGCACACAAACCTATGAATCAAGATACAATAGTGGCTCAGATAGTTGGTGTTTGGGGAAACCTACGTGTATTTATGAGGAAACGGAACTTGACCTCATCCATCAATTACCCATCTGGAGACTAATGTATCTGCATCTTCGATATATCTTCCTGTCTCCTACGACAATAATTGGTGTCTAACCACTCAACGTACTGGTCATTTTGCTGCTAGACGTTTCGTGTTTATCAGAATAAGCTCCTTCAGAGTAATTTCAGGTTGAAGGAAGTAATTAGCAAGTCGTCAGTAGAATGCTAACGTATTTTTCTCAAATATACAATTTCAAATTACGATAAGACACTGTACACAAGGTGTGAACTTCATATATGTAGTTTCCATACTCCCCAAAATCTTTCTCCATATTGTGTGTCTTTTACGGAATGTGTTAGTCACTTTTACATGACATCCTCAGGAACACAAGATTTTATTTATGTTGTTCGTTCTGGTGAAGGCTAGTATTCAGTTTGATACATCTGGGTGTGGATGAATGCATGCTTTGTATGACATAATTTTTGATTGCTTGTCACAGAAGTTGTCAACTTCACATCCCCGAAATTTCCGTGACATCCATGTATCTCTTCTGGATTTCTTTGAGAATAACGAATCATGTAAACATTTCAGTCCTCAACCTATCTCTGAAACATTAATATGGAAACCAAAGTTGAGAGAAGAATTGCAAAATTGAGTCATCTAATGTCAATCAATATTTACTCCCAATCCATGAATCAACCACCGAATAGCAAACTAATTGATTTCTCATATTCAATCTAAATTTAAGTAACATACAAAATGTAAAAGAAGCATAGTTCTGTAACTGTGAATATTGGTCTTATTGTTTCGATTGAAAACACATCATGATATACATGCACACATAATTTTCCAACCGTCAGGATTTATCTCTCTTTCAGGGAGATTTTAGTAGGAGTGGTGGTACGAGAGTATCACATTTCCAACATCTGGAGAAAATGAACAAGATTTTGTACACTTCGTAGCGTCATGAGAAATTAAGACATTTCATGTGCCTCTTAATTTCGAAATATATGTTTCAAATTCAAGTACTAAACACAGTGGTACCAGCCAAGTAGATGATGTTCCACTCAGCTCTCTCAAGAGACTTCAGTAAGTTGAAGTTTGTCGTTTATCCACATCTTAGATTTTGGTGTTTGCTTTGCCTTATAAGTGTCTCAAATCCATCATTATACTATAATGAATATTTGCAATAATACAGGATTTTGAATACTTCATGTCCAGTCGATACATTTAAACTGTAGGTGATTGATATTAATCAAATAGCATAACTTTTACCTCCATATTATACCCAAATATACCATTCAACTTTCTAGATTGTTTTAATGCAAATTGAAGGAAAATAGTGGAATGAATTTCTCACATCGATCTTCGGTGATTTATATATATAACATATTGTAGGTGATGATTAATTGTTCAAAGTAGCTTTTGTTTAGGCACCTAAAGATGACCGATCATCAGACGTAATCAAAATCGTTTAACAACAACGAATAAAAGGACATTTAATGCAGCTTAACTGCGTATAACCTTCATTAGTAGGAACTTATTTTCTATATCAATTAAAGATAATCTTCCGCATCTGTTCGCCTCTATGTGCATCTAACAGTTCATCCGCTCTTGTTTTTTCACTATAAATTAACGAACAGTCTGAAATCGATTGTAGGTCAGTTAACAAGGGTCACACGTTACATCTTCTTCCATGCTATTCAAATAAATTTACTCAGATACTCTTTGCATACACAATAGTGACAATAATAATTATTTTAAAAGACACATTCCTCACTCGTACGCAAACAAGGAGAGTTCAAAATGTCTCAATAATTTGGCTATAAAAACTATATCCGATTTTAAAAACCGGATCGATTTATACACAACGATTGAATACTATTAAGGTGGCTAAACAAAAAACTATCACTGGAGATCTATGTGAGAAATTCATTCCACTATTTTCCTTCAATTTGCATTAAAACAATCTAGAAAGTTGAATGGTATATTTGGGTATAATATGGAGGTAAAAGTTATGCTATTTGATTAATATCAATCACCTACAGTTTAAATGTATCGACTGGACATGAAGTATTCAAAATCCTGTATTATTGCAAATATTCATTATAGTATAATGATGGATTTGAGACACTTATAAGGCAAAGCAAACACCAAAATCTA